TATTCTCAACATATTTTCCAGAGACTGACCGTTTACATTAGTAGCTTGAACTGACTGACCTGTTTCTTTCTGCAGCGCAGGGGCCCATAAAATCTGCTTATCTGTTGTGGCTGGAGCCACCGGAACATGGCTTTCCTGAGGGCGCTGATGCTGCTCTGCTGTACTGCCTCGAAGTGCCGCCGGGAAGGAGACACCTGGAGTGACGGTGGCTGAAGAGAACACCCTTCCCGTAGTTTTGGACGTTCTCTGAACCTTCCTTCTCTGTTGCTCTTCTTTGTCATGTTTGCAACCCCGAGAATTGGCGGGATGTGGCTTTTCTCCCTCCGACAAATGGCAGTTGCAGCTTACTGGGGTGGAGGCAGAGTTCTCCTTTCCTGGGCACTCCTTGTGTAAGTGATCACCTCCGCACCACAGAAAACGTGGGGGCTGTTTGCAGTTTGCCCAAACGTGGCCGAACTGCTGCCAGTTGTAGCACTGTGTGAACCCGCTTTTGCCTTGTACGCCTCTACCTTGGTGGCAATGTGGCAGAGGTTGTCAGTCTGAAGAATTTTTGGGACTTCTTCGTTCTAGGAAGGGTAACAAGGAACACGGGACGGTAGATGGTATTTGTTCCTCCTGGAGGAGTCCGACGACTGGTCATTTGTTTGATGCTAATGACGTCAAACCCCAGACTCATCAGGCCGTCAGAGATATCTTCTGCTGGAGTATTTTGGGGGAGGTGACGGATGACAGCTTTGATGGGTTTTTCGGATTTTGGAAAGTAGGAAATGTAACCAAATTGCTGTCTTCAAGAAATTTCTTTATGGCTGAAAAGTCCGCCATTTCTTTTGTGAGAATTCTGGTCCCACTTCTTGTGTTGCGGAACTCAAAACTGCCATTAGTATTGCCTTTGACATTCCTCTGCAACTGTATCGGGTTAGTTGCAGAGGTTAGGACAATTAGAGGAGGCCTACCTGACTTCTGCAAGATGGTTGCTCTTCTTTGTCGGATGTCTCCTCCGCGAGGTCCTTTTCTGTTGTCCTGAGGGGCGCAAAAATTTTTTTTGGGCACTTCAACCCGGGATTTTATCCTGGGATCCCTTGGGCTAGGTGACGGCTTTGGCTCTTTAGTCTGCTCCTCTGATGGGTTTCGTTTACGTCTTCTTTGTTCTCGAAATTCCTCAGCTGATTCTTCTTTCTGCTCAAGCAGGAGTGACTCTCGCAGCTCCCTGTGGATGGAAGCGTACAGGCGCAGCATGGTTACTAACGTCTTCTTGTCGAAGCTGGTCTATTTATAACTCGGCGTTTGCTATACAATGAGCCATTGTTATAAACCTGGAAACGCTGCATTGTAGAATCTGCGATTCCTACGCAACGGTCAATTGTTGGGGCTAAAATACCGCTATTGTCGCTACCTATGCATTGGTCTGTTGTAGCGTTACTATGGAAGTGTTTTCTGTATTCCGAACATGTGACAATATATATCCGTAATATATATTGTAACGTGTTGGGTTACTGAATACGCCGTAGAGATCGTTAATTGGTTCATTTAACAACCTACAAATCACGGCTACAATTAATTATAACACAGTTGCGGGGTTTCACACTTTATAACCCTAAACGCAAATCAGTTCACTCTGTCTTCAGTGGTCTACACGTTTACAGTAGGGGAGCTATGTATCACTGTATCACACACTCCCAATTACACAATCACACACACGTCCGGTTCTTCTTTTCGCGACTGCTGCTATGTCAGCTCGACTCGCAGGCTCGCTCGGAACTAACTGTGAATAGCCTTCGCTGCTCCTTATGTAGCATCGTTCCGGGCCATTGTCGTCTGGTGCCGTGTTGCTAGCAACGCTGTCCGGAGTTGTTGACTGATGCCTAGCAACCGCGATATCCCTTGGTGACGTCACCGCTGTTGACTCGATTTGCATAGTTACCAGGTTGCTGGGACTCGGCTAACTTCGGCTCCGCTCGGCACGTCAGCGCGGGGAGAGTTGCGGGGTGATGACTCTCCTATTACGAGAGCGCTACGTTACCGCCACGTGCCGCTGGGGAAGTAGGGGTCCTTCGTTGCGCAACATGTCACACTATTACAAATTTTCTTTACTGCTAAAAAAATAATTATTTATTTCACGCATTACGAACACATATATATTAGAAGAAATCCCGTTATTTCACAATGGCCAACTGGACCCAGGAAAACAATTGGTTCTCTGAAGGCTCTGGGAGTATCAACATTCGGATTCAACAGGAATGTTATCGCACTCGAACGTCAACCAAGAACGGACCACATAAACTCTGCGTCAGACAGCTCTCCTTTTCTTCAAAGTGGATTCGTTGCTGGGGAAACTATTTAGCAAAAGTGTAAGGCTGCTCAGCAATTAGAGACCGTAATATTTGTATTTCTAATGGGAAAGTTGTCGAATTAGGCGATTTTGATGGGCTCAAAATGTCATGATATGTATTACGAGATTCTCAAGGAGTAGTTTACACATTCAAACGTTGTTGGAAGCAACATGTATACAGGCGCATAGGCACAGTGTCAGCACAGTGACCTCTCAGGCTATTTTACTTGATTAATAAAAGTAAACGGAGTTAAGACACTTTGGCATGAATTATGAATAATTTTAAAAAACAATACTACATACTCGATTTTTATACGACTTTGGCTTCTTAGATCTAGCAGCATTTAGGAACGAACAATTTGCCATGACGCCTAAAAGCCGAATTTCCTAGCAATTAAACTGTGTACAAACTGTCTTATTTTGGAACCGACGCAGATACTGCTGCACAGTGTCGCCTCAAGTCTTTCCGACGGCCAGATAATCTTTATCTTGAAGGACATATGAGCTATGAAACAACTACCAGTGCATCCTACCAGCCAATAGGGAAGTGCAGTCCTGCTAAATGTTGTAAGGTTACAATGCACCTTCAACGCCATTTGCTAAGGACTCGGTGTAAATTCTGAGCTACGTCTCCTGGAGAAGTGTATGTGGACATACAACCTCAGCCCGCGAAGTCATGCAAGCCTATAAATGTATATAAGAAGCCAACAGTTCCTTTCGAATATGGCACTGTGTACAAACTATCTTATCTTGGAACCGACGCAGATAATCCTGCATAGTGTCGCCGTAAGTCTTTGCGACGGACAGACAATCTTTATCTTGAAGGACAAATGAGCTTTCAAACAAATACCAGTGCATCCTACCAGCCAATAGGGAAATGCAGACCTGCTGAATGTTGTAAGCCACAGACATGTTACAAGGCACCTTCAACGCCACTTGCTAAGCACTCGGTGTACACACTGAGTTACATGCCTCCTGGAGAATTTGTCTATGTAGGAAATGAAGACGTAGACTCGACAGTCCAACAGTGCTCTTGCTGTTGTGAATGTCGCTTATAATATCACGCAGAGTAAGGAAGTCACTGCAAATCGGAATAACATAGAAGATAGATCACTTGGCTTGTATTCACTTGTCGGCGAGGGTAATGATACATATTTTTTCCATATTAATTTATACTATGGGAAGACTCCTGGTGCGAAGCATCCTGAATTTTCTACGGTCCACCTTCGGATCTGGACCACCGAGGGTCTTGAATGTACTGTCCAGTCTCGCATGATGAAGAGGACGTCAGTATGAACCGTGTTCGCCCGACGCAGTTCGCTTTGCTCAAGTCTTGCGTCGTTAACCCAGGTGGAAGGGACTGAATAACACGCAGAGTATTTAATTAACACAACGAGAGATCTAAAGCATTGTTTTACTCGAAACCATTTAACGCATATTAAAGAGGAGCAAATATTTATCTTTCAAACTTCAGACTACAGGGATCTATTGTACCTAGGAATGAGTTTAGGGGATGAAGTTTAGGAATCCATCAATCAGCATGCCATTATGCAACCTGTCGTTCTGGCATTCTGTTCCAAATGCATATACTGCAACTGCGTAAGTTCAAAGCTCTGGAAAATAGCAATATATATCGTATTTTCGGGTAATTTAAATGGAAAACCATTCACAGAATACACACTACGCTATTTATTAAATCCCAACATGATTCATTGTTTTATATACTGAAATGGTAAGGTTTTGTTCCAGTCATAAATAAAAAAATGTTCTCTCAAAATTCAAATTTTTTGTATAATCGTTAATACAGTTCTCAGAATGGGAATCAGTATTTCTATAATTCATTTTGTGGTTTTCTATGTTATAACAGCTGAGTTCCTCTGGTGAAATTTCAGGATAGAACCTCAAATTACCCTCCCACTGCCATATTCGAAACAACTATTTACAAATCTCCCTAAAATCTCCCTAAAAACGCCGGTCCCCAGAGTGATTTAAATGTTTAAACCACCGGTCCGCAATGTGTTAAATCCAAGGGTACCATTTAGTTAAACCAGTTTTTATTCACTAAGTAATCGAGAAACCCAATATGCTTCAGCCATGTATTGCCATCTTCCGGTGCTTCCAATTATAAAATGAAACCTTACATCAGTCTTATATAAATTATTTAAAATTGGTTGGATTTGAGGTTCTCACATATCTCATATGACAATACTCTTTATTTAAAACGTGTTCCTAGATCTATGCCTAAAATAATATTGACACTAAAATTGGCATAATAAAGGAGAAAATTAAGCACGAAAGTAGGATCATTCATTTATTGTAACATAATACAGCAAGCAGTGATGTCTTAAAAGCCAAACCATTCAATTTTTCTCTGATGTCAGATTAATAACCATGTGCTGTTGCACATCCTATGGCGGTCAGTATGTGTTGGAGTTATTAAACTTCATTAAAGTAACTAAATCATCAAACCACTGGTTTCTACAAGATACGTACAGACAATAGCAGCTAAAATAGTGGCTCTTAACATATTTAAGATCATGAATCTAAGTAAAAAATCGTTAGGAAAATGTCTCTTATCTACACCAAATTATGCAGTGGGACGGAGGGAAGGAGTGCTGGGCATAAAAAAAAAAAAGGAAAAACAGAACTGTAAACAATGAACAGTACAGTTTTAAAATTAATACATTTTATATATTTATGACAGCCATACAGACCACAAACACGAATGTAATTGAATATGAAAATACTCACAATGCCTGGTTTTATTCAGTTTTATGACATAAAACAATATAATCAATTAGGCAAAAGAAAATTATATTAGTAACTATATTCATAGATCTTTTAAACTGATACTATACTCACAAGGTAAAACTAAGTTTAGTTCCTGGTGTTAAAAGTAAATACAAACTATAAAATTAAACACTTGGCTGGATTCTACATATACTAACATAAAAGGAAGAGATGAAAAAAGATTTCAGACACTGGGTGTTCCGAGGAACACACTATCAGATACTATATACAATACTCCTTTACATAAGGACTGCTTTGCATAACAGTATTACTAATACACTTCTAAATTTCACAGGCTGTTTTAAGACTGACTACTAAAGATATACACAAGGTGGCATAACTGAGCATACATTGGACAGATCTGTATTTCATGATTAAAGGATTACCATCTCAATGCATATGTTGTACATGTCACAGTGACCTTCAATGAGAAAAAAACTGAAAATGTAGAGGCCAGAGAAGAGAGATCTTAGTGAAAACAGCCAGTAGTCAGAGCCTGCAGATAAGGAAGACATCTAACAGAAGGGAGTTTATAATTTTAATGACCAGTAATTTAACTGTTTACTAAACAGTAACTTCAATTTTTTGGTAGGGCCTCCATATTACAATACTGTTTATGAAGACAGAATCCAAACCTAGCTTTAAATATGTCATCAATTTAGCATTTTACAGTGGTTATGTTAAAAAAAATAAATTAAAACTGTTCCCCAGGTTTTCTCAACCCTCTGGGTTTCCAATCAGGCCACAGCTGAGTCAGTAAACCGAATACCAAAGAATATGATCTTCTGAGTTGTAACACTGTATAGTTCACAGATCCAACAAGTTGAATTAGCAACTGCAGGTTTAGGTGAAGAGGACTATATCAGAAAAATTGCATATCTTTGGCTACTCACTGCAGTATGCCACAGATGATCAACCCTATGTCGAGCCTTCTTTGCCCTCCTACCCTGACTTTGGATCTAATACATACATCTAATAAGGAAGATCCCCACTATTTCACACATACATGAAACTATTTTTACCAAAACTGGTGACTGTTTCTGAATGTTCAAATCAATTATTAATATGTTTATAACCATCCAACTGTATGTTATTATTTTACCTGGAAACAATTACCACACTGAAGGGCAAATCATCCTTGTTACAAGAATATGTATACCAGATTTGAGGTTTCAATGGCAGTGATTTATATTTAGGCTTTCTGGGTTATGGCACCGTGTAGCCTGAGAGATGAAAATGGAGGCAGCGTGTTTCTCCAAATGTTAGCAATCACTTGAGATGCTACACAGTGTCACATCCCATAAGAACACACTGTACAAGAATATGTATGCGAGACAAAGCTGAAGGTGGACAAGTACCTTTCCTATCTTCAACGTCTACAATATTCCACAAGGAACAAGGGTTTGGAACTATGTTATAAACAGAAATAGATGCCAATATCATGAGAGGGACAGAGAGTAACTTTTAAGATCAAGCGGTGAATTTATATTCTTATACTGCATTTAACTTATTATTGTACAAAGGTACTAACCTAAAATACAAAATGGTACATATTAATGAGAATCATTGTACTGGTATGAAAAGAAAAAGTGACACTAGATCACCTATAGCAAAATCAAACATCACTAAACTGCTGCTTGATTCTTCTTATGGTAATGAGGATGGCAGGAGAATCAATGTCATTACAAGCAATATATATTACACATGTTCTGAAGTTTTCACGGCGATAGTATACAACAAAGTCTACTCAGGTGATCAGCCACATCAGTGTGGAATCTAATATATATTACTTTATGCATTACTTGTCACCTACTCAGCAGTTTACTGTGAAAATGTTACACATGTAAATATACTGCAGATTCAAATACCCAAGTTAATCATGTAGATTACATTACCTGAAAAAAAAAAAGACATGTGCTTAATATTATTTGGTTTTACACAGTTCAGATGAGGGTACATCTTTCAAGCACATCTTCTGGGATGTGATGCTGTCTAGTCTGTAGAAGTTTATTAGCATTTCGGTGCAAAATACTGCCTCCATCTGCAGGGATCAAGAGTAAGTCCAGGATGCAAACAAGCAGTTGGCAAGAAGTAGGTGGAGGCAGCAAGTACCTCCAAAATAAAGGTAAGCATCTACTAGAATACACAGCAGCATATCCCTGAAGATAGTACTTTTCATAGTCAGTGTCACAGATGCAAGGTTCTCACATCTCATACATAGAACACAACTTTCCACCTACAATTTATGGCCTCTATGGCTGAGAAACCAGAATCAATCTGTCTACATACTAACAAACTGCAGGAAAATGAAAATAGGAAGCACTGGGGAAAAGGTGTGAAGAAAGGCAGTTGCTTTCTCTAATAATTTTTCTTGCATACACTTGCTATCTTAAAAAGAAACTTCTTAATCACTGTAATATTTAATGATCAGACCTGCATTGTAGAAGCAGCTTCATCTCCGTCTGGCTTCATCCTGACCCTGAAAAAGAAACTGCCATTACCATCAGGATGCTAAAAATATCCTTATATACCTATGCACATACAAATACATATAAATGAATATCCTTTGGTTTGAATTTATTTTGGAGGGGGGAGCAAAATATTTAGCTGTTTTCTTTTGCAATCAGCATGGAATCAATCTATTGTTCCAGTAAAATTATCTGACCTTCAGCAATCAACTGCCCTTCATCACTAGCATCAACAACATAGCTACTCCATTTAATGCTTGCACTAAAGAAGAACACTGTGTAGTTATTTGATTTTCATGGACTAAAGGTGTAACAGGTGCAGAAATTCACATAAGACTATGTACAGTGTTTTGCTGCAATGAAGTGTATACAAATGGATAGACTTGTATAAAAATTGCTGACCAAGTATCCCCAACAAAGAACAATTAGGACACCCATCCACATCAATAAGCAAAATTGTCACCATTCTGTACTAATAGTCTCCCATAATTTTCTATATCTGCAGGCCACAAGAGTCAAATGATGGTAGGCTGCTCTTCTTTGAGGCATATGATAAAATGGTTTAAATCAACAGAATATTAAATGGTTATTTCAACATCCAGTTAATACAAACATGTAATAGGATGCAAAAATTAAAGAACTTCGCTAACTTTATTTTCTTCCAGCCAAACTCATCGTGCATATTTTTTTTCACTTCTCCCTCTGAAATGCCAACCCAGAGACACCAAAATTTCTCACTTAATTATGGGCCATGGTAATTTCTCATTAATGCAGTGGTTTCTGTACTGCTTTCTTCAGGATATCCTCACAATGTAGTGAATATTTATTCTTTACAAACTTCTTGCCAGACACATCACTCAGAAGAATTTTTAGACAGTGAAGCATGAAACTGGGTACTTCAAAAATATCTCTTTCCCTGTGACACTGCCCTTCTCCTACACTTTCTCAGTCTAGACAGCAACTCCATTTTCGGAAAATACTGCTGGGTTAACAAGTATAAAACAAATATTTTTCAGTGTAATCTCCATACTTAAATGAAGGCATAACAATATAGGTGTCATTTATACAGAATAGGTTACTTCTGATGTCTGAGTAAAACTTTAAGTCACATGGAGTTTAATGCAATAAACCACAAAAATTAATTGCTTTAAATCCCACTGTGCATGTTTAATGACGATAAACCCAAAATAAGTGAGAAGGCATGTAACAATAAATTGGTATGATGCTTTATTTCTTTTAACAGTTGATTATTTCCTTTAGTTGATGGTTGGTTAAGATACATTATCTTCTTTTTTAAAAATAAAAACATAAATTTATCTTCAATCTAAATGTCACCAACTTTATCTATAAGCCTGTCTGTACCACGACACTGAAAAGTGCCTTTTCTTGCTTTGAACTTTAAATAACATGCTTCGTTATTCGTTTACTAATAACTTAATAGGCTACTATTTTTGTGCCCATTTTTCTACTAACCAATTATTTTTCAGAGGAAATGTTTTGACAGTCCTATAGAATATAAAACTTGCAAAAAATACAAATACACACCACTGGGATGAGGGCGCGCGCAAAAAAAAAAAGGCAACCACATTTATTTACAATAGTCAACCAATGCTAGAACCACATCATGCCTGTTTTTTCTTGCCTTTGTCTCAATGTTCAGTGACCAGAAATAGGGCCAGTACATAATAATTATGCAGTTTTCAGAAATGAATGCAATATGGATAGTGGGTACTTTCAGACCTTTGGACTGTTCATTGTTTTTAATCACCCATGCTATTTCTTCTCTCCATTACGACAGAAAATTCAGAGTTCTACATTCATTTTAAAAATAATAACCCCCACTTACTGGCAACTTTTCTACTGGTGCTCTGTTCTCTTCATCTCCTTCAGAGTCCTCTAGAGCCCATTCATCTTGGGATCTACGATTCTCTGTCTGTTCTCCTTCTGAGGATCCTGATTCTGCGTTGCTTCTGCTTACTACCGCAGAAGAATTTCAAATACATTATGACTTATGTTAACTTGGCAAGTTAAGTCTGACTTACAAACACAAATATACTGCATGTACAACTAGCATCAACACACGTCTAAACCCTAACAAACCTTAAACACATCACTTTAACGACACAAGCGCTTAATACTTAATCAGTTTTTTATTCAAAATACAGATAATTGCGCACAGTGAAAATACAAATATCTTTCCAAATATGGAATTGCTGATGAGAAACTGGGAATGGAAGTTGCTCCAATTGCAGGTATTAAATAACATTTATGTCATATTTTAGATTAGCTTCATAATTTGTACTCTTCTCGAAGTATAATTAGAATGATTAAGTCAAGGAGGATGAGGTGGGCAGGCCATGTAGCATGAATGGGGGAGAAGAGGAATGCACATAGGATATTGGTGGGAAAGCCACAAGGAAAGAGACCACTGGGAAGACCAAGACGTAGGTGGGTGGACAATATTAAAGTGGATCTTAGAGAGACAGGATGTGATGGGATTGAATGGATTGATCTGGCTCAGGATATGGACCAGTGGAGAGCTCTTGTGTTCACGGTAATGAACCTTCGGGTTCCATAAAATTCTTGAGTAGCTGCACATTTGGCTTCTCCTCAAGAAGGACTCAGCTCTTTAAGTAACTCAGCTCTTTAAGTAAGTAATATTTTACATTATGAATTCTGGACTGATGAATGTGGTATGAAAGAAGACATGCTTCTAAGAAGAGCTGCCAGATGCAAACTATAACTCTATGTAAAAAGCAGACTCTAGTTACTACTGTCACCCACCATTCAGCCCAGATCATTTCTTCTGTATATATTATATGAATTATGTATTAAAATTCACAATACAATAATTTTAACCATTGTTACATACTGGTGTGAACATCTGTATCACACCCTAAGGAAGAGACACAGATTCTGGGTGCAAGAAAATAAGATGTTGAAGAGAATATGTGGATTTAAGAGAGGGAAAATAATAGGAAGAGGAGATTAAATGGCAATTACTGCATTTGAGTGCATGAGGAAGGTGCACTTATTTCAGAGGGAACACACTGAAAACTTGCAGGAATATAAATACTTTTATTACAATTCTAATGTGGGAGTAAATTATACAAGACCTGAAGTAAATATAGAACGAAGGCGTTTTTATATGAAAAACAATACAGATACAAAATAAAATCCACCATATAAGAAGTTATTTTAAGTGGGAACTCCATAGGAATATATTTTATTTGGCACAAAACAGCGAATAAAATATTGGAAGAATGCATATCAGTCTCTCTGTGACATCCTATAAAAAATCTTCCTCTCTCACCTAATTTATGTCCTTTCAATCAAGGAAAATAGGCATAGTCAACATACCAACAGGGTCCACAGTGAGGGAATACATCTTATCTGGACTAAGATGGCTTGTATGCTGCTTGAATAATGTTACATGGTCAGCAAATGCCTGCCAGAAGGTTCTACCTTCTGGGACGGTGAACATTGTCTATAAAGATAAAAAAACACAAACAATAATCCCAACATAAAACACAATGCTTTGTCTGAAATATCACATTCTTAGTAAATCTAAAACTTAGGTACTTACTTTGAACCTGTTATAGATGTGATCTGCTTTATCTCTTATCTGACCAGCTTTTGTTGCAAAGTTTGCCTGGGGAGGAAAAACCATACCAATGTTTCATCACTCTGTACAAGTACTACAAATATTACATTGACAAAAGTAAAACATAAAACTCACTTTCTGCTCTTCATTATAATTCCATTCACCCATATTCCCAATGTATCTTCTCAGCTGAAACACAAGAAGCAAATCTTTGGTAACTCCGAACAGTGGGTAGGTTCCATGACAAGACCCAGTGAGGTTTATGTACTAACGAAAGCAAAATTGCAGGATTATCATATATGGTTAACCAAGGAGAGATGGAGAACAAGACTTATAGGCACTTATAACAAAGAATGGTAATTTTGTATTTAATGTTGTGGCTATCACTTGATAAATTATTCAGATATTTTAAAATACCATACCACAATCTCATGTTATCAAACATTCTCTTCTTACATAACCAAACAAGGCACTGCAGTGAATAATCCTGTTCTACAAATGAAAAGCACTGTACCTGCCTTCTGAGATGTCCCTTATTTTGGTTCAAATCCAAGTTGGGCCTAATCCTCTCATAGTGAACAATCTGTATTTGTTTCATAAGAGATATGAGCAATACCAGATGCGAGCCAAATTGGAAGGCATCGATGCTGTTTATTAGATGCAGTATGCAGGCCATAAACTACTCTAGTTTGGAATTAAGGACGTTTTTGCCACTTTAAAAAATTATGGCTAGTTCTGTTCAGGCTAAACTGTTGCATTGAAGGAGGCCAGACATATAAAGGGAAGGGTGACATGCTGAAACTTAAATAACAACCCTCGATTCCATGCCACCCCTTGTCCTTCAAGATACCAAGTCTTCTAAAACAATTCAAAGGAAAAATTGTACTAAGCCACTTATGATGTTGGACTTGAACCATCCAGACACATGTTTGATACACATTACTGCTTAAGATTCTCACATACTGTATACCTAATATGTAACTTCAATAAAAGGGAGCATCTAACGTTTCCAGACTATGTCAATCCCAGTGAGTGGAATCTCTAACACAAACATAACTTCTTTTTGTGGTCAACTAAATCTGAATTACAATTAACCTGACCTTTTGCAATAACTGTACTGATTAAAAATATCAAATAATCAATACAGCAATACCTAAATAGATATATATTAATATTGAACAGCGACTCAATCTGAGTAATTAAGCTTCTACACTTCACCTTCCCAACTCTATTCTGTCATTCACGCTACTATCCAAGCCTGCTCATGTCCTCAGAGCTCATGCTTACTGATTACCTAGATGATCTCTAAACCTAATTCCCATTCCTGACAGTCGATGCTTTCCACAAATAACTCAACGTAGGAGTTTCAAAATGTGAAATAAATCAAGGAGAGAGAATGGCTATGGTACCTGACTTCAATACTATCCTGAGATAATTCTATACTAATCAAATATAAATCTGTAATTTCTCTCTAAAAATGTGAAAGGACAGCCCCATCATTCATGCCATCTTGGCTTGCCACTGTTCAATACCACAAGGACAATTTTATGAGCTCCATATTCATTTCACTACAGTAAAATAAAAAATGGAAAGTCTGACCTTCTCAAACAAAATGAAATTAATATAAAGTTATCCCTGTAACAGGCCATGGAGGCCTATAGGGTTGTGCCAAGTTCAGGCTCCCACATCTGCTAGACAATCCGCTCACAGATGGCAGTAGGGTTCTCAACCTTACACGCCAGCCACCCTTTACCCCCTCAAGAAGATTCCTGGTACTCATTTCTGTCAGAGGCTGAATCGACCCCAGGGCCATAGTGCAGGTGGAAGGATTAGGTATATTGGGGAGGGAGGAACCTCATTGGGACTCAAACCCATGACCTTCTGGCTTGTAGCATGGTGCCTCAACCGACTACACTACCACGTACCCCTGAAATTAATAAGTCAAAGTATTTTGTCAAGTATACTGTATGGACATGGCCTTTGACACTCTTAGGGCAGAATACATGGTGACAGCAAGAATGATAGTTGCTCAGTGTGAACAACTATAGAGCCAATCAGACAGTCAGCAGGCATCCCACAGCACAATCAAAAGATTCTTTCTGGAGTTTTTAATAGCTGGAAACTGAACTGGAACTGTACATTACACATTAAACAAATCTGCTTGAATAATTTCAGAGATTTACAACATAAAATGGAATTCTGGTATCTGTTTCTGCACATACTAAAAATCAGACTAAGCAATGAAAGTACTTCTGGTAAAACAGTAACAAGTATAATGAAAAACACACACTTGCAAAATAATACATTCTTAACACCAAACATACTCTCAAATATTAGTGACTAGACATGGGGTTTGGATTGATAACTGGACTTAGTGGAGGCTTATAACTATAAATAACTCTAACAGTCTCACTGATTTATACACTCTAAATCACAACTACTGCACATATAAAGTATTCTGCTTATTCACTAACTGTTGTTACGAGGGGGTACCCAAAAGAAACCGAACTTATTTTTTTTAAAACTTATTTATTCAAATTTTAAGCACAAACCTTCAATCCCCTTCAAAGTACTCTCCACTTACACTAATACACTTGTCTAGTCTTTTATTCCATTTTTCAAAACATTGACTAAATTCATCTTTTGAGATGCTTGACAGCGCCTCCGTCGTTTTTTCCTTTCATGTCTCTTTTCATTTGAGGAAAAAAAAAAGTCACAAAGGGCAAGGTCGGGTGAGTATGGAGGGTGAGGAACAGGGGTCATACCATTTTTGGTCAAGAACTGTCGTACAGACAGGGCTGTGTGAGCAGGGACATTGTCATGATGGAAATACCAGTCACCCAACTGCCACAAATCTGGCCGCTGAGCTCCAAGTCACTCCCGACAGCTCCACAATTTCTTCAATGGTCCGTCGTCGATCTTCCTTGATGATTTCACGAATTTTTTCAACATTTTCATGCGTTCGGGCCATGGAAGGACGACCAGATCGAGGTTTGTCATCAATTGACATTTCACCATTTTTGAAATGGGAAACCCCTCAAACACTTGAGTTTTCCCCATAGCATCGTCCTTGTATGCCGTTTTTAACATTTCAAGAGTTTCTGTTCCACTTTTCCCGGGGAAAAAGCAGAATTTCACCGCCGCACGCTGTTCACAAAAATCAGCCATTGCAAAAATGACGATCACACAAAAGAGTTGTCGTTATAAACTGCCGAAACTAGTCCTTACCTTCTGAAGCAACGGTAGTCGACTTATCGACTCAGGAATGTTAGCTCTATGCGCTCATAGCGGCAAAACGCGGTACTACAAAAGCTCTGCCCACAAAAAAATTAGTTCGGTTTCTTTTGGGTACCCATCGTACATAACAGCTGATAAAAGTGCAATTCCAATAACTCCAATTGTTGACTACAACCTCCAACTGACTGGCTTTGGTTGTTTGGTTAAATTGCCACTGGCTTTGCCAGCACAGTCATTCCTGTCTTCAGTCTCCTGGAGATCCATGATCAAGATTTTTATTCTCCCCTAGACATGTATATGTTTCAAAATTTGGCCTCCTCTTTCATGAAGGAAGGGTTCGTCTTTCTATGTAGGTGTTACACTTGTTGCACCAAAGTCACGTCAAAGTGAAGTTACAACTGATGGCCAGTCGGCCGGGATGTCTTGGGACCAAGACCAGATTTTTGTTACTGTCAGACAGTTTCAGGTGTGTTCATGTTAGGTGCCCTCTCTGATGACAGGACAGGCCTGTTGTTTACAATGTTATACTGTCCAGTTGGCCCTCATTATATAACCATGGCATGGAATACATACAAAATGTCACGTCCTCTATTCTTGCATCAGCATCTGCTGCCATACAAATACGTTTACTGCACCACTGCCTAGCAATAACTGCATATATTCATCCCACTATTCCGGTTTCCAGTCACAATGTCACAATATAAATAAAACAGGGCAGATATAACTCAGTATAGGGACCACGCTAAGGGCTGGAAGGAGGAGGTATGGATTTCTTTCACCATCATAGCATCCACTCCATGTATGGGGACCACTCAGCCTCCTATTCATTGGGTATCAGGAGATTTTTCCCCCAGAGAGAAAACAGTTTCGACTTGAAGCTAATCACTCACCTCCATCTAACACAGAGTTTATGAATGCTTGAAGCTATACCCCCAGTTCCCAATATGCCTTTATGATGTGCTGCTTAATTAAGTACAGGAACAAGACTTTGACATATCAATAAACTGCAAACTAATTTAAAATTCACCTTTTTGATAGTTTCTACTACTTGAGGATGTTTCTTCAACATAAGGGGATCAATTGTAAGTGTTGAGATTTCATCCAGATGAGCCAAGCAGCGGTCTGGATCAGCCCTAGTTAAACTAAGATTAGATTTAACTAGTGCATCCAATTCTACAAGGCGTGATTCCAATTTCATCCACCTGAAAATATATAACATGAAAGTAATGAATGAATGAATCATCTATCAATAGTCTTACATTCAGAGAACAATGTCTCAAACATTACACAACAGAGGTGTAAATTTTCAAATTAAAGATCCAACAATCTATGCAGCTAAATGTGGCATCAATGTTGTAGATATGATCAATGCATTTACTTGCAGAATTTTCATACCTTTTGTGATAATCTCAAAATTTCACCTGAGTGTGAAAATGTTCAGCAAATTCTTTGGATATCTGATTGCCACAAGGAAGACTGAACCAACTCACAGAATGCTTACACCCATGACTTCTCGCTTTCCTCTGCAGTAAATAACTTACTGAAAAAGTATCCCACTGGGAATTGGTCTGCAATTTACTCATACAATATCACACTTTGTTTCCAAGGCCATGATAACAGTACATGATGATTTACTCACAAGAGGTCCCAAATTAATAATTAAAAATCACACATTAATCACATTAAAGTCCTTTCACGATAATCCCACCCAAAGACAACTCTTAGGCTCTTCCAAGGTCCAGTTTGACATGTAACATGCCATTCATCTTGTTGTCATCTGTCAGTTCCAAGTCATTCAACTGATTACAAATTCTTGGTAAATACAAAGGTACACATTAGTACTGATTACTGTGTGGAAGACACGGGCAAAATTATGCTTCCTGGTGCCAGAGCAACCCACATCGCCACTTTCTGGGGATGGAAAAACTCCTCATAAATGGCAGGATTTGCAGTGGCCCACATGCACATATTCTGTAAGTCCATGTACTCTGTTTGATGAAACCAAGCTACATCAGAGAACTGCCTTGTGTCCCAGATTTCAGGATTCTGCACAAAAAATTTCTTAAACCACTGGAAATAGACCACTCTTTTCTGCATATCAGAAGGTTGGAGCTTCTGAACATCAGTAACATGGTATAGGTGAATTCTTCCTTTCTTTGCCACTCTTCTGACATGATGAAGAACACAAGCCAGTCTCCTGTGATAACTGATATAATGACTTTGCTGGTAAAGTCGGTTGCTGCCACGCATTCTGCATCATGTTACGTGTCATTGAAGGCTGACCTCCTGTGCTGAGTAAATAGGATTCCTTTAGTCGCCAGTTTTCAGACCTTATTCTGATAATTTTCTCTGACCATCTGCAAAATGGACACAGCTTCTGAAAGCTGCCTGACATTGTTTCAATGATCCTGTAACCCAGTATAAGCATACAAGAAAAACATGCTCCACAATTAAATACATTATTCCACCTTATAACACATGCAGTCGGACAGAAGGAAATGGTGAAAACCTGGCACAGCACTGGGTCAGGGTTGCAAAGTTCTGTTTTATCAGTAAATTATTGTGTAATTTACAATTATGAATTCAGGACCTCCTCTGAGTGAATCATCCTGTATCACTGTAACTAAAATATTAACTAACATGCGTGCATGTGTGAGCACAAAGTTATCATTTGCCAGTCGTGCCTTCCAAGCTTAAAAATGAAATGACACCATAAAGAGTCATAAATTACATCACAATTCAAATTTATGAAGATATGAATGGGTGTGAGCCCAGGAATATCTGAAGTCTAATTTTATGGCCACAGACAAGTGCTGGTGTCCATGTAGATTATATAGTTTGGAAGATAAAACTGAGAAGTTCATTTTGTTATTAAGAGCAACAAAATCAATGTGGCTTCTGACATAATGTAGTACACAAAATTATCAACTCCATTCTTTGAAGCTCATTAAGCTTACTAAAAGGTAGGAATAATGAATTTCAAATCAGTGAAGGTCTCCCATACTGAATTTCAACAAAATCTGTGCCATGGCAAAGTCCACTTATGGTCTTAATCAAACCAGGCATTTTATGAATCAATATGGCTGAAAATCAGAACTGTCAAACAACTTTTAGTGCAAAACCCGCATACCATATTTTAATAAAACATGTGAAACAGTTTACGAACTGCAATGAAAAGTCAACGCATGACCTTATACAAATTAGTGTGTATTATGGATCAATATGGGGGCACGCGGCAGAGCAGTTGGTTGAGGCACTATGCTACAAGCTTGAAGGTCATGGGTTCAAGTCCCGATGAAGTCACTGGATTTTTTTCAATTGACCTAATCCTTCCAGCCGCACCATGGCCCTGGGGTCGACTCAGCCTCTAACAGAAATGAGTACCAGGAATTAATTAAATAATTTTCCTGGGAAGTAAAGTGTGGCCGGCACATAAGGCTGACAACCTTACCGCCATCTTTGAGCTGACTGTCTAAATAATGTGGGACCCTCAGTGTCTCACAACCCTATGGGCCTTCACTGCCTGTTACGGGGATAGCTTTACTTTTATGGATCAATATGCCTTAAAATCGAAACTGCATTGCAACTTTTGGCAGAATCCCTCCAATATCAATTGAAATGAAAAATGTTAAATGGTTTATGGGACATACAGGCCACTACACCTTACTTCATTCACTTCAAGCACCTCAACTTATTCCATGCTACCTCATGTTACATAAATTATCTTAACATACAAACCACCTCAAGTCACCTAAGCGAAATGTACAACTCAAAATGACATGGGAGTTTGGCTTGTTACAGTGACTGAAAATATGGCTTTGTATTAATTTCAAACAACTGTTTTAATTACTACAATGCCACAGCAGCAGTACTCCAAGACTATTTACTTTCACTTATTATGTCTTTTTAAATTTAAATGCAGTATTTTTAGTGCACGGCAGTGGAACGGTTACTGTAACCGGACATCCCTCGCCAAAATTATTTAACTAAGGGCATGAACAACTAATGCATTGTTTGAGACGCTCCATCGGTGAGATACCATCCCGGGACCGTCTAGTTGTAATCCAGCTATTGTCCTCCTTAGGCTAAGGGTGCCACTATTGTCCCTAACGTCACCTGTTTACTCCCAGTATCATAAACCCATGAACTGACCATGTGCAAGACCGGCCAAGAGGGGTCTTGCATGCCTTGAAGACCTAAAAAAGTTTATGAGCTCCTCGAAAAATACGAATGTAGGTCAGATGCCGGGCTCAACCCTTGGCTTTCTCTTTTTATGTTTCTATTTTTTTTCGTTTCTTTAGGCCAACTGGGGGACTGGTAAAGAGAGGGCAGTCGGTTGTAGGGAGCTGAGGAGGACAGTAGTTGAAAGGTAGATGGAGAAGAGTTTAACAGTAGGGTAGCGAGTAGGGCGGACGAAGTGGCTAGCTTGAAGGACAATGCAAATATTAACCACTGAATGAAATTTTAAATTAAAAGTGCAATATTTGGTGTTCTGGTGATCCCGGATTGATTAACCCCAAAGTGTGTTCCACTCCCATCTCCGAAGCACCCATATCCTGAGAAAAAGAACTCAAGCTCGAGCGACAGTTGTGGCAGCTGTACGTCGGCAGTCGGCTACATTACACATCTGACTGCAACACGTGTGTCTACAAGAGTCAACAGACTGATCAAGTATCAGAATATATCATTACGGACACTTACTTAATCTTATTCTTCTTTCGGTCTACAATACGATCTTTCCTAAGAATAGATTTTTCTTCCTCTTTCATCTGGATATTACGTTCTATTTGTTTCTTGATGTCTTCAGGTATGAACTCTCCTCTCTCAATTTGTGATTTTAATCGAAGTGCATTACGGTACACTGCCTCATCCCACATCATTCGAGCCTTCTCATTCTGAAATTTACAATACCAGTTGTTATGAATTTATCTACCTTAAGTGTCTTCGTGTTTCTAATGAACACACATAAATTTTGTAATAATCTATAATTTGTTCAGAATAATTGCTGAACTTGTTTTTACCTTGCCTTTAACACAAACATGCACATGAACAGACAGAAATCTTACTTTGGCACTTTCTGAAACAATATTCCACAAAACCTTGCCCAGTTTCAACTGACTGTGGTGGGTTTCATTCCCGACAAGGTCACTGGATTTTTCAATTGACCTAATACTTCCAGCTGCACTATGGCCCTGGGGTTGACTCAGCCTCTAACAGAAATGAGTACCAAGAATCTTCCTGGGGGAAAAGGGCGGCTGGCCCGTAAGGCTGACGTCACCAGCTGTGAGCCAATTGTCTAGATTGTGGGATCCCCGACATCTCACAACCCTATGGGCCTCCATGGCCTGTTACAGGGATAGCCGTATCCTTCTTTTTTAATCATACCCAGTATGACACAGAGCATCTAGGCAATGTTTGAAACAATGTTATGTGTTCTAGAGCTTTTTACATAGGTTATGGCCACACCATAGCTCAAGCGGTCACTCGCTGGCTTCCCACCATGGCAGCCCGGGTTCGATCCAATGTCTGGTCAAGTGGGATTTGTGGTGGACAAAGTGGCGATGGGGTAGGTTTTCTCCAAGTACTTCAGTTTCCCCTGCCAATCTTCATTCCGCCAAATTCTCCATCATCATAAACACGTGGGGCAGGTACAATGGGCCAATCAATGGTCGACGTGCCAAGTGGACCCAGCTGGACTCCACCCCCCACTATGCGAAAATTTTACATAGGTTTACAGGTCTAACACCTAGGTATTCCATACAACACCAGATTTTGTGCTTTGCCTATATGTGGTGTGATAAATTACTTTCCACACTGGCCACAGTAAGACACTACTATTGTTAGGATAAAATTCCTTTGCTAGGTGGATTTAAAAGTAGAATCTGCTGAGACATTTGCCATTCATTTCAAAATTCAATGAGTGACATTAATGGACTTACAAATATTCAACGATAAAGAACAGGAGGACCAAATGGTAGAATATGTAATGTACAAATACTGTCATGACTACAATAAACATTCAGACTAGTAAAAACCCTGGTCTTCAAAATTGGGGGGTTGGGCATGGAATTAAAACCCCACCCCATTAAAAGCCTTATTGCTGAGAAGCTGTTGAAGATTGCAGCTGGATGGAAAAACCTAAAACAACCCATAAGTGGGAACTTGGAATGTGCTGTCCCTATGTAGAAGTAGGGTACTTAACAAGTAGGCAGACCTGCTATCAGGTGGCTAGAGTCAGCTGAAGAAGACTCAAAGACAATGGAGGTTAGAAATTGGAGAAAAAAGTCACAGGATTGAGACCAATGGCAAGCAATCCTAAAAGAGGCCAAGGTTCATCATAGACTGTAGCACCCACAGAAAAAGCAGTGGTCCATTCAAGCCTAAAAATTCAGTAATCCCAGCAGTTAATTGTTGTTAATCCTCAGTTTCTTAAGCCTCATGAAGCAGTCTGGTGTTACTGATGCAAGTAAGGCTAGTAAACCAAATCAGGAATGCTAATATTCATAATTCTGACCACCACAATAGATCAGATGAGATATACCTGAAACTTAACTGCTTGTCAGTACAGTAATTTTTCATACTTTTCCTCCATTTCTCAATACATTTTCTGGGACAGTACCTTAACAGGACATGTGCACTCCATATCATTCATAACACAATCATCTTATTATCTGGTTCCAAATAATATTCTCGGTTGATAAACCGAACCTTCAATAACTTCAAAAAGTAGTAAACAGAAAACAAATATTGCGAATAATTACCAAATAAAACATTCTGTACACATATGCTGTAACTGGCAATATACTGTACCTTGAAAGACTTTGGGCGATCCTGATCCACCTTTATTTCAACAACATGCCCTGAAAGTGTTTTTGCCATCAACACTACTCCTTTGTAAGGACTGGGATTCACATTCTCGCCTTCTGCTTCATTAGCTGCTGTTTCACTGTCCTTACTAACTTCCTTCACTGTTTCAGCACCTGTCATATAAAACAGTTAAAACATATCTAGAATTTTTTTTAAAAGTCTGGGGCTATTCAGTAAGAAATATCTCAGGATGTGTTATGTTTGTACTTATTTTCTTGACATAGACGTCTAACAGAACAAGAAGAAATAAACACACTCTCTACTTCTCCACGTATCACCAACAGAACTAAGACATCTGTCCCAGCAAGACAACAGGCATGATTTATGCGCAGAAATTAGCCCTCGGTGTTTGCACCCACTTGGTTTTTACTTTAAAAGCACTTTCCTATTTCCCATTCTGCCCCCATTATCATTATTAGTTTCATTTAAACTTTTGTTTCCAATTACCTGTCTGAAAATGCCTTCTCTTCTAGCTTATGCATTGAAATTTCTTACCAAAATTATCATGCGGCACTTAGAGAACTGACTAAATACATGTACTACTTCCTCATAGAAGATGTCCTTTTCATCATAACTTTAACCTAAGTTGGTGAATTAAAAACAAAGTATCACACCAATGTCCGCTTAGTATCATATACAATATCCTGCCACTAACAAACTTTACCCTTTTAACTGCTACTATCATTCTCTTATGTATGTATATACATATAAAAGTCCCTAACTGATGGTTATAGCAAGTGTCACATAACTTGGAACAAGGCCAAGAGTAACTTTGAATGTGCAGAAGAAAAATTTCAGACAAGGGGGTGAAAGTGGAAGAACGAGTGTTAAGAAACTGCTCCAACCACAAGCTATGCACGCGATTTGACTAGGAATGTGGGGCTTTGTTCAAAGTTACATGACACTGTCTATAGCACTCCCATTTGCACACAAAGATACATAATAATTTGCTGTTTCATAACCACACCATATCATCTGAAGTTTTGTAATCCCACTAAATCTAACTTATACTTTGCTAATCCTCCTGTTACTGTTTTCAGTGAACCTGACCTACAGAGAGACTCTGATATTGTAAGTTCCAAATCTCATGTCCACTTTCTGTTGCATAGGTCATTCCAAAATATCCAAGTTACAGGCCTTGTGTAACACTTCAAAACATGGTGGCTTTTGTAGTAAGAAGTTGTTAGCTCCCCACCTAATGACCAAACTGGAGGATTACCACTTGTCAGCTGTGTGCAACTACTTATTCAGTATATTCAAAGCTGCTCTCCATATATGCAAGTCACCTCTACATCTCCAACCTACCTGAGAATGTGGCAACACAGAATCCACTTAAACACGGACACTTTTCATTTCAGTGGCAGTAAACATCCCCAGTTCTGTTAAACTAAGGGGCTGGATTAGTGAGTTTATTAGTCAATACTTTAAAACCATGAAGAATATGATCTTCACTACTGTACTGCCATGTTGTTTTGGGACAACCTGGTGTTTTGGAGGAACACATCACCTCCGGATTCAAAGCTGAAGACTAAGTGAATCAAGATACTAAGGGGCTGGATTCCTGGGTCTGGTCAAGTGGGATTTGTGGTGGACAAAGTGGCGCTGGGGCGGGTTTTCTCTGAGTACTTCGGTTTCCCCTGCCAATCTTCATTCCTCCAATTGCTCCACAATCACCCTCACCTATCATCTGGGTCTGTTACAATAGGCCAGAAGTGGCTGCAGTATAAAGGGACTTACTCCTACCCATCTAGCAATAAAAAGAAGAGGAGGGGGGCTGGATTCAGGAGTTGATTAGTCAAAACTTTAAAACCATGAAGAATATGATCTTCAGTGTTATACTGTCATGTCATTTTGGGACCGCCTGGTGTTTTGGGGGAACACATCACCTCCAGATTCAAAGCTGAAAAGTGAAGCAAGAAACCAAAAGAAGCAGGAAGTAAGCCAAGGTTCTGAAGACCGTATTTTTCACAGTCATTGTTGCAAGAACCCAAAATCTGCTTTAATCCTGTTTATAAGTCAAAATATTCAAAACCCATCGTTTACTAACCAAGAAATATCCCCCCAAAGAAACTTCAGACTTGTAATGTTTAATGACATGACTTGCAGTTTACTGAATATTCTGAACATACACCTTCCACTACTGATATAAAATTCCAATATTAAATATCCCTGCAGCAAGAAAAGCTCAGCAAAAATTACTACTACTAAGAATTGCATTTTACTTCATGAATAAAGCACACATACCAAATCTAGGCTCAGGCCCATCAACAAGACTCAACCTGGGCATTGGAATTGACATGCAAAGTTCAACCATGTCTACATCAGAAACGTTTCTGTCTTGTAAATCAGTAGCATCAGGAATTCTACCTCCATCATCTTCTGCGAATAAAAACTTTTTTGCATCAGAAATTTTCAACATATTTGGTCCATCCCTATTAAAGTTTTCTGCTGTTAATGCATCTCCAATTTCAGGCAACGGCACTTCAACTGGTACACTTATGTCTGCTTTCTTATAACCTTCACCTGTCTTTTGTGGTACTGAAATTTCTACGGTTTTTGTTCCATTTACAGCAACATCCACTGCTGTTAAAATATCATCTGTCTCATAAATTATTCCACTTCCTTTGGGATCATTTCCAGTATTTAACAAGCTCTTGGAATGGCCCCAGCAAGACTGACTGTGAGATATATCTCCAACATATTTTTGTTCCTCAGCTATATTTGTGTTGTCTATACAGATCAATTTCTGTTCTCTGATCATGCTATTATTATATGTCTGAAATAACTGTTGATCCTTGGTCATGTTAACATCGTTGGCAAGCAACAGATGTTGTTCTTTGTGTATACTGCTATCAGTGTCTGAAATTGTTTGCTCACATGTTGAAGTTGCATCTTTTATGAAAGAAGTTTCATTATATGAGAATTCCTTTGTATCCTGTAAGGTTCCACCACTTTCTGCATTGTTCTCATTGTGCGCCAAACCTCTAAGTAGTTCAGTTAAAAAGAGATCCTGATTATTTGATTTTTCACCTTGAGCATGTGAATTGCAAAGATCATTCAATGGCTTGTAACTCAGATCATCCATCTGTGATGATACACCACCAATATTCTCACCATGAGCACCAGGATGTTCAACAAGGTCAATCTGAACATTCTCACTTTGTGCCACATTGTTACTTGGACTGCCACTGTGACCAGACAATAGACAAGCCTCTCTACCCATGTCTAGTTCTTCACAAGGCTGAAAATCACTTCTAATTCCTGAAGGATGGAGATCTGCTGTATTAATCTCAAAACAATCCATTTCTTCACTATGTTGCTTATCCTCAAACACCTGATATTCATCCTGGACAATACATGATTCATCAGACTGACAGTTTTGCAGACACTCCAATTCAGGATTTTCACTGTGAAAAATACACTGCTTCTGACTTCCTACATTTTTCTGTATTTGTCTTTCAGATCTTAAACATATCAGTTCATCTAAGTTTGTTTCATTTATGTCACCAATACTCCTCTCTTGAACTGACAAAATTCCATCTGCACACTTAGCAACTATTTCTTGTTTTAGATCCTCACAGAATGATTGTTTTGCACAACCAAACTTACTATCATTCATGAATTCTACACTGCCTAAATTTTGAATTTCTGTGGTGTCAACTGCATTATTAACACCTGGAGGCCATATTCTCTTTTTGACAGCTAACCGTTGCTCAAGATGTTCAGTGTTCACATTCTTGGAACTTTCGATTGGGATGGATTCACCTGACACTGTTCTTGATGTCTTAAATAATGCGTTTTCTTCTTCACTACCTTCCTCCTCCTCAATATCTTTCCTGAAAGACAATTCCTTGTGAAGAATTTCTTTAATCACACATTGAGACCGAAGGCGGTAAGAAACATTTCTCTCAGAAGACGTAACTTCTGATACCACATGCATGTAGTTACCAACACTTGCATTTTCTTCCAGGTTCAGTGTTTTGTCACTTAAATGAGAACAGTTTACAGTTATTCTGGGTATGGTATCTTCAGCAGCAACAATCTCTGCTGATTTTATGCAATTATTTTTGTGTAAAAAATCATTTCTGCGATGGCTTCGTAGTTTATAAGGTGATCTCTTCCCATAAAACTTAGATTTATTGTTTTTATCATTAATAATTTCTTCTTTCAGTTGCATATCTGTACCCATGCTCCTCACCTTTTGATACAGAACCCCTGAACACACGTTGTAACTTAAACTATCTACATCAGATACAGTTGGTTCTTGTTTTACTTCTCCTCTTACTTTTCTTTCCTGAGCACTATCTGACTTCAGACTGTGGCCTGAATTAGAAGAACAAACTATGGTGCCTTTTTTATGTTGTAAGGAAACGAGTTTTGGGCACTCACCTTGGTTGGTTCTAGGTCGCAAGATACAAGAGATATCAGAAGAGGAGATTAAGATTTCATTTTTGATTTGAGAATAACCACCACGCGTCACTCTATTTTGTTTTACTTGTACACCATTAGAACTGCAACTATGCAGACTACTCTTCTCACAGTTTGAAGTTGGGCTAGAAAAAATATTATCATCACATAGAGATGTTTCTTGTTTTACTAGGACATCCTCAACATTCTCTGATTTACACCTAATGCCTAAACCAGACAGACAAATTCTTGAACCTTCCTTATGAACTGAGCCACTACCTGGACTCTTTCTTGGTCGCAGATTATAGGTTCCACAAGATATGTTAGTAGAAATCATGCTCTGGTTTTCAACTTGAGCATCATTATTTTTTTTTACTTGTAAATAATGCACAGTAGGATCGTAATTAAACAAACAAGTTCCCCCTGGACCTAAAGTCAATTCACCTGTGTGTGTATTTCTTGGACGAAGATTATAACCTGAAATTTTCTTGTAGCATTTCTGTTTTTCAACATTTTCTTCACTGTCACTTTCTTTCTTCACTTTAAAATTTACATCTGTCTTCACCAAATTACAATACCAATTCCTTGAACGAAGATTATAACTTCTGGATGAAATCATTTGATATGTGGGTGACTGCTTTACTAGCATATCATCAACACTATGTGACTTATAGTTTTCACTGGAATCAGACATGGAAATTCTTGT